GAGGGGAAGGGGGAGGCGGTATTATTAAATACATCTTTTGGAAAAGGTAAACAGCGTATTTTAGGTCTGTCTGGCAGGACACGGGGAGCAAGGCACCGGGGGGCCGTGGACCGGCCAACTCATCACACAAGTGACTCTGGAGGTCGGGGGTCGGGGCGGGGGGCAGAGCTTCCCCCGAGCCTTGAACACCTCCAATTCCCCCAGGCTCACTGCGGCCGAGGGGTCTGAAAGCCCCCACTTTCCCCCCATGGAAGTGGGGGCTTTCACCCCACTCCAGTTTCAACCAGGCAAATGCCACCGACACGCGAGGCCCTTTATATAACCCCATTTTCAAAGAAAATTCAACTTCTCGCACCCCTACAGAAAAAAAAAAAAAAGCCTTTTCTCCCCCCCCCACCCTGGATAGTTGCAAGTAAAGCGAAGGATGGACGAGATAATGAAAATATAAAAGTGCAAATAAATCAATTGGTCGAGACACTGTGCAAGGTAACGCGCACTCGGGCTGGTGAACGGGGTTGGAATTGGGGCTGAAGTGAACCAAGCCATAACATTTAGAATAAAACTGCACCAGCAGAAAAAAACGAGCTTAAAAAATACACGGTTTACATCTGATGCGAGTAACCACAGTAAGTTTTAAAAGTAATATTTTGATGTAGCTTTAAAGGCTCTATCAGGAATGGTAAAAGTTTCAAAGCACGGGAAAAAAAAGATAAAAGCAATTGAATTATCTGTTAGGTTTTTGTTCTTAAGAAGTTTAGAGTTTTAGTAGCTTTAAAAAAATATCTCTTGCATGTTTCAAAGAAGGGGATTCACTTTTGAAAGGCCAACCATATGGAGGCAATATTGTTTTTAAGAAGGTTCTCCTTCTCCCTGCAACAGTATTTAAAAGCCGTTTAAAAAAAAAAAAAAAAAAAAAAAAAAAAGGCAATTCTCCTTTAAACGCCGAGGAAAATTGGGAGTGGAAAGGAGGGGGATGAAAATGATCTTCCCTGCTAGCGGTGGGTAATACATACATATAGGTATATATAATTTAAAAGGACAAAAAGCGAAGGGACTCCGGGTCCACAGCTCTGGAGCTAAAGATCACGTACAGAAACGGCCCGTGCCCCCCTCCCTCCCTTCCCAAACGCTCTTTTCCCACCGCACACCAGCCAGACGCCTGGCAATAAGTGACTGAAGGGCGAAGCAAAACCGCTACGGGCGCGGAAAGTGCGCGGAAAGTGCGCGGAGGGGAGCGGAGCCCAGGGCCGCCGCGGGAGCCGCTGCCCCAGGCCCGGGCACAGCCCGCGGGGGCAGAGCCGCAGCTCCAGGGACCATTTAAGGCTTTTCTCTTCCCCTCCTCCTCTTTTTTCTTTTTTTTTTTCCCCTGGACTGTTGTGTTTGGGTTTGGGTTTTTTTTTTTTTTCTTCTTGCTGCAGCTTGGGAAGTGCCGGTTATCCATTTTTTAATCGATTTCCCTCCAGCTTGGAGCTATTATTCCCCCTGAGCTGGCAAAGTTAGGGGGGAGGGCGAGGGAAAAAAAAAAAAAAAAGATAATAAAGCATGTTTATTAAAACAAAGAGGGACCCAGCTATGGCAGCACAGGGCAGCCTGGCTCCAGCGAGCCTCCCCAATGCTCTCCGCGTTGAGCCATAATTAAGCAGATATAAAAATAATAATAATAAAAAAAAAGGGAGGGGTGACGGCAAAAAACAACCCAACAACTAAGAGCAATTGGCGATCCGTGGCTTCTAATTTTTTTTTTTTTCCCCTTTAAAGAGCTTCTGAGAAGAAATGGAGCTTGACAGAACCAGGCCGCGGTGGCTGTATGAAAAATGCATCTTGCCTTGCTAAAGTAGCACCAAGTGGGTTTGCAGGAGGACAAAAAAAAAAAAAGAGGAAGGGGGAAAGAAAAAAAAATAATAACCACCCTCTGCTTTTGTTCGAGCTTCTCCCCGGCCCCCCCCAGCCCCACACACCGCCTGGGGAGAGCAGCCGCCCCCTTCCCCTGCACCCCACGTCTCCCGAGGCCTCGCAGCTCCTCGGCAAAGCCAATTTGTGTCTAACAATGCCCCCAGCCAGCCACTTTCGCTCTCCCTCGGTCACACACCCGCACACACAGATTTACAGACACCGACGGACATACATGGCAATGGAAGAGCTGTTACCTTGCTTGTTGAATTCCATGCAATCAATGCATCTCCATATATATAATGTATGTGTATATTTTCCCCCTTTGCAATGGGAATTACAATGGGATCAGGCTTCTCGTGTGCATATTTCCTTTTATTTATTTATTTGCGGATCAGCATGTGAAAACCCAGCCTGGAAGAAAAAAATCTATCCAATGCAAGCCTGCTTGCCTGCTTCTCGCTCGCTCTCGCTCTCTCTCCAAACACTTCCAGGTTGTCAGACGCACTAGAAAGGATCCTGAGACCAAGATAAAGCCCCCACCCCCACCCCTTTCTCAGCCTGATCGGGAAGATACAGTTTTCCCCACCCCGCTCTTTCTACTTGCCACCGAAGAAAAAAAAAAAAAAGAAAAATAATAATAGTAATAAAAAAAGAGGGAGAGGACGAGAGAGAAGAAAAAAAAAAAGCCCCCCCCTTGGAAAAAAAAAAAAAAAAAAAAAAAAAAGAAGGGAAAAAAAAAGTTTCGGCCGGGCTGGCAGCCGCCGCTCCTCCGGGCAGGTTCGCGGCGCTGCCGCCGTGGCGGCGCGGAGCCGGGCGCGGAGCGCGGCGGAGAGGAGCGCGGAGGTGACGTGGGCTCGTCCAGCTCCGTTCGCCAAGTGCCGGGACCCACTGCCCAACCAGCTGGGATCCTGCTCCGGAGAGACTCACTCTCACACAGCCCTCCCCCCCGCCCCCTCC